CCTAAACTAATTCATGTCAATCTATATGTTTCTTTGGGAATCCTGTAGTTTAAATAGCTTATTTTCTTCTCCAGATTTCTGAAGAGATAACATTATTCCTCCACAGAACTTGTTCTACTAGACTAAAGAAGCCATTCGCTTGTCTGACTGGCTTTCCATTTTCCCACTTATGTGACCACGTATTTCTTGAACAAAATTTGCATGATTCAATTAACTTTTTAATTTATGCCTTACCTCTGGGAAGTAGGAAACATTAAAGAATGCCAAAAGCCTTTAAGATCTTCTGCATTCATCCAAGTTTACCACTTGAGCTTACTGTGCCATATCAAGCAGGTTTCAAGGATGTGCTTTCCTTTGTTCACTCTTGCATGAGGGAGAAGGAAGGCTTTGTGCTTCTCTAACTAAAAAGGAGAGATTCGTACTTAATGCAAGCCAATTGCTCTGTTCCACCCCTGGCTGATGTTCAATGCATTGCACTGTATCTCTTCTTTTGTATTCTTTCTGCCCATTCCTTATCCCCTCTGCCAGCCTCCTCCAAAGAGGAATGATCATTCTGAAGTGTAAAGAGAAAGAAAAAAGAAAAAAAAAGAGAGAGAGAGAGAAAGGGAACAGAAAGGGAATGGCATAGAAGGAACAGACCCTCTCCTGGCTATGAGAGAAACTTCCTATTCAGTCATCTTTCAGTCATAGCTGTCACATCGGCTTAGCTTTTCAATATCCCACAGTCCTCACAAGGTGTGAAAGCCAACCGAGGTACATTCACATTCATCTGCTTCCTCTAGAAATTGGTCATTCAGGGCTTTTTTTTTTTTTTTTTTTTTTTTTTGGGGTGGGGAGGAGGTTACTGTAAACAGAGGAAGTGGCAATGTCATTACTTGAAGATGAAAACCAACCCTCCCCTTTAGAAAGAAATGGAGTAGAACTACATATCTGTATGTGGGTATGTATTGGTTAAACATGGTAAATGCCCCTTGAGCTATATCTTTTTATACTTTTTTTTTTTTAAATATTTTCAATGTAATAGTGCATAATAAGAAGAATGGCAAAGTTGCTTGATGGAACTTCTGCACATCCATGGCCAATCTTCTTGAGAGGAAATTTGGCAGATTTCTGCTTGGATTGTTGGAAAGGAAATTTGGCATTTTTCTACCTTAACTTCTGGTAAACCAGAAAGGTTTTGCTTCAAATTTTGCCAATCATGCATTATTATAAGGACCTTTCAGTTTTAGTGATTTTAGAGCATTATTGAGATCTTTGAGATTCCTTAATAGGAAGGTAGCCAGTGCATTTGAGAATAAGACAGAGAATACCTGTCTAACTTTGCTGTCATGGCTTTGGCCTCCAGTCTAAAGTGAATGAGAGTCTAAAATGCAATGAAAAAGGAAACATTTTTGCATTAAAATAACCCACACTGAACATCTACTTCTGATGGTGAAGAAAGGAATAGCTAAGTAAACTTCCAGTTGAAGCTTGGTGAAGAGTTGTCAGTGCAACTTAGACTATAGAGGACAGGGGTGTTCTACAGTGTCTGGTTCTGTGGGACCCCTCTACTCTTCAAGGAAGGATCCCAAAAGCTGACCTGATTCCTAACTGTATTTGTTCTCCTGGCCTCTTTGCAACCATGTCCAAAGGCGATGCTGCTCTCCAACACTCCTCCCTTGAGCTCGTCCCTTTGCCATGTGTTTGTCTTGACAACTGTGGATAATTTTCGGATCTGGCTGCTTTCAGAGGCAGCTTTTGCTGTCTTCTACCTTGATGCAGCAGGAGCTTAACGGGCAAGATTTCTCCTCTGCTCCGAGGCTCCCTCCCCATGCTGCCCTTTCTTTGCAGGCCCCCATGTCTCAGCAGAGCAGGTCCTGCACAACCTGGCAGGGTCGAACTCATCTGTGTCTCGGACCGCTGCGTTTGCCTCTTGGATGTGTCATATAATGCATAGCTGAAAATAAGCATGATATTGTTTTGTCTTGGGGGTAACTTAGGTGTTATGGGATGCTACAGTGGAATAGAGAATATAGGGCTTGAGGTCTGTGGACTTTCTTTAACTCATTCTGGGGAAAACAACAGTTTTTCGTTTGATCTTGGGGACATTAGATTTATTTTTTTAGCAAGATAGAAAAGATTTATCAGAAAGTGTTGTTTTACTTGTAGAAACTG